GGGGGAGGAGGAGGAGGAGGAGGAGGAGGAGGAGGAAGAAGAAGAAGAAGAAGAAGAAGAAGAAGAAGAAGATGAAGAAGAAGAAGAAGAAAAAAAATATGTGTGTGTGCTAACAACATAATTTGAAACTTAACTTATTTCCACAAAAGCAACAAGTCTACAATGGAGTGTAACAAAAATATGCCTCACCTTTACATTTGCACACGGCACAGCCTTCATCGTTGAGAATGTGTCCGTGGACACAACGCTTGGTGCAGTTGAACATGGGGCATTTATTGCATTTGCACTTGGGGCAACCGTCTCTGCCTCTCTTGTAGCCATACTCGCATTTCTTCTCACACTTGCTCTGCTCCCAGTGAGAGCACAGGCTGTCTACTCCTTTACACTCGCAGATTTGTTTGCCTTCCACATCCGATTTCAGCCCGTACTGACAGTCCAAGGTACATATTTCTGATGATAATGAGCATAGGCTGTAACAAACCACCAAAAAAGTCGGAAGGTTTTTATATGTCACAAATATTCATCATCAATAAACAAAACTAGGCATCATGCATAAAGCAGATATAAAGTTACAGAGTTTGTACAAATGAAATCTATTTGAATACCAAAAAAAAGGGACAATTTTCGCTGTCTCTCACATGTTTTCAAATCTCTTAAGTTTTTCTTTTTTTTCGACGGACCTGTTGGAAACGAGTAGGGGCAGCTTGTATTCAAAGTAAGCTTATGCAGAAAAAAACGGCCCCCTTTCTCTTCCTCTCTCCCTCATTGTCAACTCTTTCTACTGCTACTCCTGGCTCCTACTTACTGTCGTCTTTTACCCACACCCCTGATCTTACGGTTGGTAAGATCGAACATCTAGTTTTCTTGGAGAAGGACAAAAAATCTTGGGAGGCCCAGACTGAAAGTAGTACATGTTAAAGATCTTTAGGTGGTCCTTCAAATTGATAAGAGTAGTGTAGGCTTCAGCTGCCACCTGGGCAAAATTCAAAATCAAGTCCTTCCAAAACTAAAAATACCCAAATTGGTACAAAAAGTATAGCGTACCTTCAAAATCAGAATGTGGCTACCTTAAACCTTGAAGGCAAGGAGCACTAAAAAAAAAAGGAAAAATGGTCACATACAAAAAAATTAGCAGCCCTGAAGGTTGTAGCACTAGCAGCCGACAAAACCCCTGCTGAGATCTAGCAGACGAACGAGAAGAAGAACAACAACAAAAACAAAAAGAATTCTGAGAAACAATCTTGCGATTTTGTGACAAAAATGATTCCGTCCCAGCCGACTGACCTTGTTTACACTGGCAGAGAAAGCATCCAGTGTCTGACTGCTGCAGGCCGTGAGGGCAGGAGAGAGAGCAGCCCTCCAGGCTAGGGCACAGGCTCTTTACCTCAGGGCTGGCAGTTTTTTCTTCCTCTGAGAATATCAAATAATGAAAAAGTAAGTAGGAGTCAGTTTCAGCAAAAGTGTTCAACTCAAAGTGAAAAGAAATATTAATAATAATAATAATAAAAA